TCACACTGTATGGCATCCGCTCCATTTGCACGGCTTTAACGCACTCTAAAGCGCCTCGGCTCTAGTGGCACCGCATAACTCGTTCCATTGTCGTCCGACTTCACCATCCCTGCTAGGATTCCGTAGTGTGCCGGCCAAGCTAGTGTCGGAGCTCAACCATCCACAGTCATAGCGTGGTATGGCGTGCGTAACGTGCACACACTCAAAACACACACAAAGGGGGTCCGAAATCCCCCGACAGGTGAGTGCGCTGGGGGGGCCCGGCCCCCAACCGGGTGCCCTGCCCGGCCAGGCCGCCTGGGACCTCCCCCGGGCCCCTGCCGGTCACCCGGGCGGCCCGGATCCCCACTCAGTTTTTTTTCGGAATTTCGGGGCCTCACCAAAGTTACCACAAATTTACTGAATATAACGCCCAGGCATTCTAAACGAATATAACGCCTGGCGTACAAAATGCCCGGGCGTTATTTTCAGGTGAAGACGGTAGGAATAGATAGGTAGGTAGGGAGAGATATAACGAGAGAAGAATATAGGGTAGTTTTTTTTTTAATTAAAAAAGGAAAAAAAAAAAACATCAGAGCCTCAAGAGTGCATGGGCCACAATGATCGAATGCAGGTGATAAAAAGACTGACCTGTTTTGTGAGAAAGCCGAACCTGGGGCCTTCTCTTCCTGAATAGTCTGTTTCATCCGTCTCTGTGTCCTTCGTTACGGCTTCAGAAGTTGCTGTGGATCCAGTTGGGGTCTGGTCGAATGACCTTTCTGATGAAATATCACGTCTGTTCTCGTCCACCTGTATTGCTGAAGACTTCTGAGGGAAGACAACAACCAGACAGCACATAGGGAGCCAGTGATGGATCAGCAGTCCGCATAGGTCTCGTACAACAAGGCGTGTGCTCTCGACCTTCCCATTCATCCGCTACATGCTCCGCACTAAGGGGGTACACCAGGTCCGGGCATAACCAAGCCTTTCCAAAATGTCTGCTGGGCTTTGACGTGAGTAGTATGCTTTTCCTTCCTGGGTGGTACAATCACTCGTTCGATAATCTCAATTTCAGAACTTGGGGCCTATAAAAACAAGTTTTTTTTTCAAGTTTTTGGTGTGTTCTGTAGCATGTAGAATACTCTATGAGGATGTTCTGATGTGTCATCTATCACATAGACCTGTTGATGCACGTGTGAACCTTCCTGGAGTCAACCTACTGGGAGTGTGTGAGCACGACGTTTGCTACGCTAGTACTTTACGTTAATCTGCTAGTACCCGGAGCTGCTACCACGGTGTTTCGCATATGACTGTTCGGCATTTTCGGTGAGTCTGTATCGAGGGAGTTATCTAGTTCAACATGGCGGGCGACCGTTACCGAGACGGTAATAGGGATGGAAGACGGCGGCAGTCAGAGCGGGGGCGCCGTGAGATGCGTGACAGCAGACGAGACCCAGTCGGTGGGTCACGGAGCAGCAGTCGGGAAGATTGGAGGGAAGACCCCCCACGACGGGGACCACCCACTTGCTTTGGGTGCAGAGTGATTGGCCCTTATCGTACCGATTGCTGGCGTTATTGGACTGACCCGGTCACGTGTCGCCAAATGGAAGCAGATGGACACGTGTGCCCCGCCGAGTTTAGTCGACGGGCTGGTGTGACGTCACCTGCAAGAGAACGTGCTCAGCTGCCTTCGACAGCGGAATCATCGGGTGATGCTCGGCTTGACGAGCTAGGCCGTACAGTAGCCTCAGTTTAGGAATTTGTGGAGATGGAACGGGCTTGACGTGCGGAGGAGGAGCAGCGCCGGCGTGAACGTAAGGAAGCTAGGCGTGTTGAAGAGGAAGCTCGAGCTGCCAAAACAGAGCGAGCTTTACGCAAGGCGGAGAAACTGCGCAAGCGTGAGGAGGAGCAACTTGCTATGGCCAAAGCTGTGGAAGTGCAGTTGTCGGTGAGATTGGGGGATATCCAGGAGGAGATCAAGTCAGAAGTTCGTAAGGCCTTATCCGGCAACTTGACTCAAGGTCAGATCGGTCCAATGAGATAAGCAAAGGCAAGGAGAAGGTTGTCGTCATCGAAGACAACCCATCGTCATCCAGTAAGTCAAGCGATGTTGATGCTATCACTGAGGGGGCCGAGAAGCTCTCCCTACAGGAGAAGCGTAAACGGGGTGAGGACACACCAGTGGGTGATAGCCCTCCGGTGACAACTCCAGCTAAGCGTTCAAGTAAACGCTTGCAACGAATGAGGTCGAAGATTTCCGTCAGACGGTCGGGAAGAGGAGTTGCCACTAAAGCTCTCACAACTATGAAGCCTCCCTCTAGGGACTCGATGGTGGAACGGATGATGTTTCTGGATAGCAACAGGAGCGAGTTGTCTAAATTAGACTGCGACACACTTCGATCTATATGTCGGGACGAAGAGGTTAACTACACCACTAAGGTGCAGGCTATATTCGATGTTGCCTATCGGCGTGCTCAAATACGTTTTGGTGAGTTACTGCCGGATTTCGGCACTTTCGTTAATTTGGGGGAGGGGACCACCACGTCGGATCAGGACGACGCTGATGAAGGAGCACGAGCCTGAACAGGGTTCAGTACCGACCAATGGGTCGTTGTTGCCGATGTTATCATTGCTTTTAGGCAATCAACGGATGAAGTGCTTGATTCTATCCTTTGTCTGTTGATGTTGCTTTTCGCCCTTCGTGGCCGTTACAGATGGCTAGTCAAATGTGTGATTCCTGGGTCAAACTCTTCCTGCGCTATGGTTTGGATTTCCTTTCGTATCCTAACTGTGTCTGCGTAATTACATCTATTCGATGTAAGTCGCAATATGTAGGTCAAACTTCTCGCTCACCATTGACTAGGTGGAAGGAACATGTGTCTGTTTGCAAGCGGAATGCTAAGAACATGCATCTGTACCGATGGTGGAAGTGTTTTGGTCTGGAGTCATACTGTTTATTACCCGTCGAGATTGTGGAACCTGTCGATTTAATCGCTGTTGAATCAGTATTCATTCGTCAATGGTCACCAATTTTGAATACGGCGGGGAAACACCCTCAATCTGGTAAGTGTAGTCGACAGGGTAAGAGGGAACGTGCCCGAAGGGTCAAGAAAAAACAACAGAATGGACAGACTGACTCCCGGACTATTAATCCTATCCGCATTCGGGTCGGCACTGATGATGCATGGTCAGTTGGGATTTATCAGACGTTACATAGAATGGATGAAGAGGGTTGTCGCATGTTTTCTTTGTTTGCGGAAGGAGGTAGCACTTGGTGTGACCGTTGGCAGGGGATAAGGAAAGCCTTTGGCTTGTCTTGTGTCCAAGTCGACGGGAAGACTGGTTTTTTAAAGGATTTCAAATGTGCGTTTGAAACCGATGGTTGCATTCTCATTCAGTACCTGAGGCACTGGAGGGCACGTAGGGGTATTAATAAACCTCTCTTGGTTTCTCTTCTACGTAACCCAAAACGACTGAATGCACTTCGAAGATGGGATTTGGACTCTTTATCTAGCCTGATGAATTCAGTTAAGGATTTCGATAAGAAAAGTACTCGAGCATACCTTTGACGCCTGATCGGGAGAGTTGTGAAAAATGGCTTCGGTTTCAATTTCTCTGCTCATCTGATTTTTCGCCTTGTTTATGATGATCGCATTAAGCTGGTTGAGGTTCGAAAGTTGGTCAACGATAAGTTAGGGGAGCTTACCTTACCACCTTGCATAACTAGACGTGCACGTAAGTCGCTCCGCATCATTTGGACCAAAAATCCAAGTGTTGCGGAGCTGATGCACAACCATCGGATTTTTGCTCGATCGGATGTGCTACCCTGCGCTTGCGCAGGTCTACCGTACCCAAGGGTACGAGGTCACGTGCGCGTACGGTTACGTGAAGTGGAGGGCATCTCACCGTTAGTATTGAATGCAAATAATATTCCCAAGGTGAATCATCAGGACCGAGTGAGGAAGTTGGGTCAGGAAATCGGCGCTGGGTTTACGAAATGGGTCAACATGAAGGGGCAGACTGTTTCGTGCTCATCGATCGAGTTGACCAGGTGTATGATGTATGTTGGGACTCATGTGGGCAGTTCCCTGGATCTGCGTGAGGTTGTGGAAGTAAGGAAGCGTTTTAATGGTCTGGTCCTTAGTCCCTTAGATCGTAATCCGGTAGAGACATTGGTACTTTGTCCTCTACTCTACTACGAAGGCATGATGACTCTGTTTGTACGGAATGTCGGTTATGTACCTGTTTTAAAGAACGAGGACAGCGTTCTGGAGGAGATGAGATCGGATTTGAAGAAGGCTGAGATTTTTGACTTTGCAAGATGGGACAGGAAAGGCTCCATAGGCCATGCTTTCGCCATGCCTAAGCATAAGGATCTTGAGAGATTCCGTCCCATCTGCCCTTCTTATTCCGAACCTACATCAAGAACGAACAAAGTTGTTGCTAAAGCTCTTAACTATCTTTTGGACCACCTCCCATCTGATTGGCATTTCAACTTGAAAGCAGTTTCTGGGTTGAAAGGGAAGCTAGAAGGAATCAATCGGAAGCTGAGAAAATCCGGATGCCAGCCGAATTTAGTAGCACAGTCCTTCGACATTAAGGACATGTTCAGTTTGTTGCCGCATAGGGACATTCTGGTTGCAGTAGATTGGCTTTTGCAGTTCCACTCTGAGAAAGTGAGATCTTTCGTTCGGATCAACACGAGAGGCAAGGGAGCTAGTTTTGGAGTTACTACCGGCTACGATCATTGGCGGAAGGTTGGGTTTGATGATATTCGTGATTTCGTGAGATTCGAACTCTCACCTACGTACGCTTACGCATTGGGGACCCTACTCCAACAACAGGTCGGCATTCCCATGGGTAAGAGCACTTCTCCCCCTCTCGCGTGCATCATGTGCGCACGTTCTGAGTACCTTTTTCTCCAAAGTTTGGGGAAACAGCGTAATGTCGTACTTGGAGTTCGACTGATCGACGATGTCAGCCTTTTTGTTGCACAGGGCCATCTGCATGCACCAAGCGCTGCTGGTTTCTTTTCAAGATTCTCTGAGTGCTATCCCAAGAACCTTACACTAAAGAGAACTGATGATGGGTCCGGAGCTTGGGACTTTTTGGGCTGTGAGGTTCGGTGCAACAATCATTTTCCTTACATTGAATGTGTGCAAGTTTCCAAGAACGAAGACTCTTTGTGGGGGGAGGAGAGACTGGCATTTTTCAATGGGCAGTCGTTTCTATCCTGGGGTAGTAAGATGCAGAAGAGTGCGGTCTTAGCGAGTCACCTGCACCGAATTGACCGAAATACAACCGCAAGGCATGAGATACAAAGGCGAGTGATATCACTGAAAAGGGAATCGCGTTTGAAGGACGTCCCCAGCACTTTCTTTCTTCGAGTGCTGAAGCGCTTTGTCCATGGGTGTGACGCTCACTGGCAATTGGCCTGGAGGATGGTGAGTCAGTAGGAGTAGCGCCTAACCTCTGACGAACGGACAGGATGTTACGGAGAGAGTGAAACGGTATTCACCAGTTCGCAGTAGCTGACACAGATCCCAGGGTTCGATCCCTAGCCCTTACCTTACCTGTGTACAGTATCTGTGTAGCCCCCGAGAATTGAACCCGCGATCTGTGTGTTTCGTAGCAGTTGGTAGGCCGTCGTAGGTTCCGTAGGTCGTCGGGGTTCGATCTGTAGACCTGTTCAGTAGGAGTCCAGCCAGGTCTAGAAGTTGTAGCTGTAGGCTTCTCGAAGAGTCAAGGTCGTAGCTAGTCCAGTCCTGAAGAGTCAAGGTCGTAGCTGCGACAGGACCGAAAGGCCAAGTCCACGGCCTTCTAGAAGGGCCCGGTGGTGGCCTTTCGAGGTTGCCCACGTTTAGGCAGAGGCAAGTGGGCAAGTGGTGGAAGTCCACTGTGCAGAGTCAGCAGTCCCAGTCCAGTCAGTCCAGTCCAGTCAGTCCAGTCCAGTCAAGCAAGTACCGCCTGGGACTGTGTGCACCGGGGGCCAGGGAAAAAGGGCAGACCAACGAGTCACAGAAGTATAAATCAAGAGGCCGCGCACATCCATTCATTCATTCCTGCGGAAGCCATGCGGAAGCGCTGTCTCAGCGGCTTGTGCGAGGAGGTCTGCAGCAGCCCGAAGTCGAAGTGGGCGAGAGAGACGAAGTGCAGCCATAGCGATAGGGTAGAGGCAGCCATCGCTGCCATAGCTGTAGTTTAGAGTGAAGTGTGTGAGTGTTGTGTGAGTGTTCAGCGTGTCGCGTGTGGGATATCCAGGGTGATCCGATGTGTGTGAACAGTGAGTTGTTGGGCGCAGAGTCGCCATAGCCAGTGGAAGTGAACTCTTATCTGGACACCATATCTTTGAGTTCTGTGTGGCCGCATGTCGCCAGTTTGCTGCGATGCTGTTTACATGCATGAAAAGTGTGAATGAGACAAGTCTGATTGCAGAGAGTACCTTCAGTACTTAGGCTAGATGAGTGAACTGGTAATTCCTGTCTCTTCCGGCAATTAGGTGACAGGGTTGATGCTTGTATTAGTACGTGTAACAGCCGTTTGATTTCTTTCTCGCTGCTGCGGTGACAGGGTTTGATCCACGGTCCGTTAGGATTGTTTCTAGGTTTGTTTTGTGTTTTGTTTTCGTGTTTGTTTTTTGACCACCCAAGGCGTAGTCGATTTGGTTTGGATATTTCCTTGGGTAACTTTCTTAGGACCTTTGGAGCTCAGGTCCTTCAGGTGTTTTGTGTGGAATTTGGCTCCGTACTACTGCGGGCATCTGTTAACCGGCATGTTCCGGTACCTTCGGGCTTTACAGCCAGGACTGGTGGCCACTGGGACTCTACTCTTAGGTTCGAGAAGTTTCGTACGATAATCGAGCGCCGGACTTAGCCAGGAATTAACAACGACAACGCGCAGTACTTAAACAGTGGATGGTAGTGTAGTTGTCCTCTTTCGGTGGACTGTCCCATCACCTTGTAATGTGATAGATCGGGCTGGTGGAACGACTGGTGGTTCTCGGGTGTTGTGGAACAGTTTGAGAACACTACTACTGCTTACGTGTTTTTCTACTGTGTACGTGTGCCTTTGCTGTACTCTATGAGTATGTTCTGATGTGTCATCTATCACATAGACCTGTAGCATGTAGAGTGCATGCCTTTAATTTTCAGGGCATTTGAATAATCCGAAAAAAAAAAAAAAMATCCCCAAAAATGGCAATGTYAAAAAWTTKTTCCCCCCCTCCCTYCCCCCCCCCCCCCCCCCCCCTTCTTTCCCTTTTTGTTCTCTTTTTCCTTAAACATTTTTAATGTGTGTGTGTCTGTGTGGTAGCATGTGCTCACCCGCTCACTTCCCACCCGCTCACGGCCCTCGCTGCCTGACCTCTCATTCAGCACTTGCATGCTGGTGGCAGCGCTGCTGGAGCGGACGCTCGTGGGCTGCTGCTGGCGCTGAGAGGCAAGGTGCAGCGCGTGCGGTCGTGTAGGGGGCAGGGCGCTGCTGAGGGCAGCACCATAGCCCACCCTCCATAGCTGGATGGGCTTGGACTACAGTGAGGCGCAGGGGTGGTCTTCAGGTGTACAGAGGGAAGACGTGGGTGAAGAAGAGGGAGAGAGAGAAGGATGATGTGAGGGCACATGCCTGGTATTGGCGATGGTCTGCTATTGGCGACATCTTCAAGTACTTCGTGGGCTGCTGACGTCAACAGTTGCATTGTCAATTAGTAGGCGGACTGTAGCTGTGTAGGAAGTAGGCTGGGCGCCGAGCGCCAAGTAGGGAGATAGGGCCTGAACACTCATGTTGGTGGTGGCGAGAGCAAGCTCTCATTGACATTGGTTTTCAGTGTTACGATTCTTCATTGGTGTTATATTGGTGCATTTCTGCTTTCTGGACACTGTGATACTATCTGGACTTCGATGTGATTGTGCATGCTGGACATTGTCATCTCGCTATTGCTCATTTTCCTTGCAATCAAATAAAATAAAATAGTAAATTACTAAAATAGTAAAAATACATTATTTTAATATTTTTATCTGATTTTTTATTTGATTCGATGTGACCCCGAGGCAAAAGTTGTTCATTTTGTTTTTCTGCACATAACATAGTTGTTTTTCGGATTTTTTTGAGTTTTTTTTTTTTTTTTTTTTTAGCGTTCGTGTTTGGCCGAATGCGTCTCCAAGGGGGGCCGAACGCTCGGCTGTTCGGGTTGAGAGGCAGTTAACCAAGGTCCGAATTTTCAGATGTTTGTCATGCAATTTATAAGAAATTCCAAAGCCAAGATTGTTTCATTTTTTTGGTGTTTGGTGCGCTCTTGAAGCATGCCAAACCAAGGGGGCAGATGCTGAAAAACCTGCAAGAAAGGTTGAACTTCTAATCAACCTAGACTCACAACACGCCTGGACGGTAGATCAAACAGACACAGACCCAAAAGGAGAACACAAAAAAAAAAATCCATATCCAAGGACATTAATTTATTTGGCAAGAACCAAGCACCCATCCTCAGTGGTAGATGAGGCATGCAAGGACTTTCAGCAGAGTTTCAGAAACAACCATTATGCTAACAGAAAAATTGGGGGGTAAAACTATAAAACCTTACAACCATAAAACCGTAAAATGCCCTCGACGATTGTTCCAATGGAATGTGGCCTTAACCTGATCCCCATGACTTTGAGACTCTTGGCAGCACTAACACCCTTACTGCACCAAGGCGATTGTAATTGAGCAGGCGGAAAAAGAAAAGAAAAGAAAGAAAGAAAGAAAGAAAGAAAAATAGACCTCTCCTAGCAAGGACACTGGTGACACTGGTTTGTTAAACAACAACAACAACAACAACAACAACAACAACAACAACAACAACAACAACAACAACAACAACAACAATGAGTGGGGTCAGATCAACCCTTCGCTGTATCTCCTTCTGAAACATGCGAATGAAAACTGCAGCTGTTAGACTCAGTAGAGAGCTGTCCGACTCGTCTCGATAAATCAACACAAGCACAAGCCGCGATTTGCCCTGCTACACGCAAAATAGAACACAGCAGCTCACGACAGATGCTATTGCACCAAAACAAGGGCAAAACAATTTGTTTTTCGGACCTTTTTCCCCTACCGAGTTCTTTTTTCAGTTTTCGCTTTTGTGCAGGAGTCTGACGTCCACAGCTGTTTGCTTTCCCCTCCTAAAAGTCTATATTTGGATGATGTCCACTCCTTTGACATCCTAGACTGCTGAGCACATAAAAGGCCTTGGAAATCTCACCTGTAACTCTGCACCTTTTTGCTGACTTCTTTCTCCAGAGGCGTCCACTGAAGAGACACTGCCGTCTGCAGCTGGCGCGTCCAATGTCCCAGCAGGTACTGCACTCCTCTGGTTCGTTTCTGCCTCGGTTCCTGCTGTGCCTGCCTCGTCCAATCCGGGACTCTCTGAAGTTGATGAATAGGACTGGTCTGCAGCATCTGCTTGCGGTGATGACGTTGCCGCCAAAGCGGACACCGCAGATGTGCCATCCTGTTCCGATATCGATGACCTCATTCCTACTGTTGAGGAGCCAACCGAAGGTGGTGATTGAGCCTGCACGAGCACATCTGACGGCTCTAACATCATCGGTTCATCTGCTGGCATAGCTGTATTCTTCTCTCCAGTCGATCCCGCATCGGCTGGAGTCAGCATAGCTCCTGGTATTGTCGCTGGATTGCTATCGGCGCTTCCCGAGGGGTTGCTGTCGGCTTCATCGGCTGTCGTAGTTGCCGCTTGGCGCTGACGCTGCATGGTCATCCAATTAGCAACCATCCAGATTCATTCATTTGCTTTCAATCGCACAGCCGTCGCTGATCGATTCTAATGCTTATCTACATATTGAAACAGTTTTCACCTTTGGCAGTAACCGATGCAGATCCCAGGGGTCGATCCCTTGACCTCAGCTTACCTGTGTACAGTATCTGCACAGTTCCCTGGAGTTGAACCCGTGACCTGCACGATAGCCAGTGGTAAGTAGGTCGCCGTAGGTTGTAGGCTGTAGGGAGATTCGAACTGTAGACCTGTAAGGTAGGAGTCCAAGTAGAGTCCAGAGGCCTAGCTGTAGTCCTTCTAGAAGGTCGGCAAGTGGTCAAGTGGTGAGTCTAAGGTAGGCCCACGTTTTCAGACGAAGACAAGTGGCAAGGTCAACAGGTAGGACCTCAGTGCAACTGCACTGAGTCGACGGTACGACTGCCTACAGTCAGCAGAAGGGTCTAGAGAGTCCCAGTCCAGTCCGGCAAGTACCACAGGGGGACTGTGAGCACCAAGGGCCGATGGCAAAGGGCAGACCAACGAATTTCTGAAGTATAAATCAAGAGGCAGCGCCCAGCCATTCATTTATTCATTCCTGCGTGAGCCATGCGGAAGCGCTGCCACAGCGACTTGTGCAAGGAGGTCTGCAGATGAGCCCGGAGGACGCAGTGGGCAAGAGAGGAGGAGTTAGCATAGCGATAGGTTAGAGGCAGCCATAGCTGCCATAGCTGTAGTTAGTAGTGAGTGTGTGTGTGTGCTCGAGTGTTAGAGTGATGCGTGTGGGATAYCCAGGGTGATCCAGTGTATGTGAACAGTGAGATGTTTGGGCGCTGAAGTCGCCATAGCCAATTGAGAGTGAACTCGTATCTGAAAGCCATATCTCTGAGTTTTGAGTGGGCGCATGTCGCCAGTATGCTGCGTTGCTGTTTACATGCATGAAAAGTGTGTTTGAGAACGAGTCTGATTGCAATATGTGCCTGTTTCCTCTCAGTACTTCGTAAAGTTAGAAACTTCTTCATCCACCTGTCCTCGACATATGGTGGAACCACCGTATGGAATGTATCGTGAGCTTTGCTATCATCGTCAAAAGGGTATGATTGGTGAAAAACGCGGGTGCTGTATTTGACACTCACGAGATGTTTCTCGTCATGGTGATGACATGGAATATGCAATGTGTGTACTGAAGCTACTAGTCATGCGCTCTCACACACATAAATCACACACACAAATATGAGTCAGTGAAAATACCAAACAACAGTCTGGGACAGTCATTCTTTTTTCTGCAAAGTCCTGTATAGCGAACATGACAACACATGCAAAAGAGGAAAAAAGGAACATCCACACCTCAGACCAAGGCCTTTCCTGGGTGTTTATTCGTGGTAGAATCAGCTTGGGGCAATTATAGTATTAACCAGGGTTGCCGTCCCGAACGTTGGGAGGGGTCGCCGCCCTTCCCCCCCTGACGTTCAGGAGTTCGGGCCGGGGTTTGGGCCCAGCAGTTCAGGGCCCGCCAAACCCCATCCCGAGACCCTTCTTTCTTTTTTTTATTATAGATAGGCTACGACCTAATGCACCTACCACTAAAATTTCGTGTTAATCTGTTGAGTGAAAAAATAAATAAAAATCGTCGAAGATAGGGGGGTCAAAAAAATTCGGACCTCCCCTCCCTTCCCCCCCCCCCCATTTTGCCCTTTTGTTTTGAACTTTTTCATATGTATTTATTTATCGATTGATTGATTGGTTGGTGTGGGGTGGGTTCGCCTCCCCCTCAACCAACCAACCAAACAACCAACCAATCAATCAATAAACATCTGCTTTTTTTTCCATCAAAATTTTTTATATGTTTATTGATTGATTGATTTGTCGGGAGGGCTCGCCACCACCCCCGGCGCAAACACACACACACACACACACACACACACACACACACACACACACGCATGCCGTTCGGCAGGCAAACTGCCTCCCTGCCCAGTTTTTTAAAATTAATTTAAAAATATGTTGTGTGAAGAACTCCCACTCTCGCAATACATCCAAAAAAAAAAACAAAAAAACACTCAAAAAAAATAAAAAAAATAAAAAAGTTCATGTTCGTGCCGTACTTGTGGCTGGGGGGGTCCCACAACGTTCGGGCAGTCGGGTTTGGGGGTTTGGCCAAACCCGAACGCCGGCTACCCTGGTATTAAGTGCTATTAACTGTATTATACAGATTTTTGTGGCCAGGTTCCTTATGCCTGAGTGGTTGACTGTACATGAGTGCTATACCGCACGGCAAACGAACTTTCAGTTTGTGAGCAATTCCGCCTACAAGAGGCGAAACAGTTCCCATTTTCACAACAGAAGAGGGAGGGTAGAGGGCACACAGGCACTTTGCTTCGTGTGAGATTTCTCACCATTTGGACGATCTTCCTCAATTCCTCCTCGCTAAGGACAAAGCTCAGTCTCAAGTGGATGGTTCCACACTCACTCTTCGGCGCGTTCTCGCAAGCAGAGACAGACAGCCAGACAGATAGATGTAAGGCCAGTGCACACCGTGTATTGAACGAGGGAATACCGTCCAGATTTAAATATGACGTCCAAACATCATTCCTCCCTATTCCCCCCCTCCCCTCCATCCTCCCTCCATCCGCCCTTCGCCCCCAATCCCCCCTCCCTCCCTATCCCTTCCCCTTTTCCCCTCTATATAACATCCCAGTACAAGTACCATGGGAACAAGAAACTGCCTCCATTGCATACTCACTCTGTACATCTGCTGCATTTCTGTAACTTTCTGAGCAGCACCGGGGATCTATCCACCACCTCCCCCTGAAATTTCCCATCAAGTGGAACAAGATCATCAACTTATTGGGTCAACTAGTCATAATTTTAAATTTTTTGTCCTGAAAAAGGTAAGGAAAGAGAGAGAATAGAAAGTCAAAAGGAGTGGAGCGGTAAATCCTCCCGATCAGGGAGCAATAAGGATCTCTCGACCACAACGGGCAGATGCGATGAGTAAGTACATACAATGTAAGTGATGCTGGACCCGGTTTCCAGCCTTCTATCAGTTCTATGCCTCCTCTTTTTTTTTTTTTTTTTTTTTTTTTTTTACGTTATAAAAGTTGACCTACACTGTGGCAGAGAAGAAGTTACCTAGGATGGGTGACACTTAGGGCAGATATAGCGAGCATACCCTGACCTGGAGCAAAGGCTGGTTATAGGTGATGCAGAGGTGAGTAACAAAAAGACCAGTCAGGAAATGCCATCATGGCCGTAGTCAGGAAATGCCATCATGGCCATAGATTCGTAGAAGCACGTCAGCACCCCAAGTGATATCACCCCAAAACAATGCAAAGTATTATAGACTAAGGGCCTCGCCACACCGCCGTCGAAACGGAAAACGTACGAGTGCATATACCCTCAGAGAATGGCAAGATGCATCCGCTACTATGAATTGCAACGAATGCACCTTACCAATTTCTGTGGAAGATGCATTCTTTCTCTTTTGGTTTCGACAGTGGAGTGGCGAGGCCCTAAGGGTTAAGCTTGGTTCACAACCTTTTTTTTTTTTTTTTTCCCCTACCTTTCTTCCTCTGGGAAAAAAAAGAAAAACCTAAAAAAAGCTTGGTCCTCAGCGGTGGCTAAATTTTTTGTCTGATCCCAACCTGGATCTCGTTCTCGGACTTCTGCCGAACATAACAGAACCTAAGCCATCTTGTAACAACCGCACTTGTGTTACCGATCCCATAAAAATGATAAAAGTGTTGGAGCAGACCACAAAGCCCAACCCTGCCAAGACCAGAAAACTGAGCAGTGTTACGATCCTGGTCATTTCCCAAGTGCAAATTCACAATGAAAGACAATGCCACCCAATTGCGAAAGAAATGAAAGCACTTGCAAGAGATAAAGACCAGAGGAGAGGTAAAGAAGAAGAAGAAGAAGAAGAAGAAGAAGTACACCAGCAAGACCAATGACAATTCCCCCTTCCCTCTCCACCTTCCTCCTTCCTCCTCCTCTTCACCAATCCTATTCTTCTCTCAATAATAATAATAACAATGAATGGATGAACCAGAATCAATGTCCGAAGTTCCCCCTTACTGCTGACTCAACTCACAACAACAACAACAACAACAACAACAACAACAACAACAACAACAACCAGTCCACCATGGCTATGTCTTCCCTCCTTCAACCTCCTCTCTCATGCATAGGCCATGGCGGACTACTGGGTGGCAGATATGGTGCTGCCCTGATGTCCAGAAGACAACCCAAAGCAGCTATGCCGCTGCTTGACTTGGTCCGCTATGCCTGACTCTGCGTCGAGCTGCCCTGGTGCAGCGCTACCCCAACGGGGGCCTTCCAGATGCAGCGCCCATCAAGGTGATGAAGACGGTGTCCACCATAGCCAGGTAAGTGCCCTACCACTCTCCTACCATGCCCCCTTCTTCCTCGTCCTCAAGCTGGGGTGCTCGCCATAGCCAGGCTGAGCCCCAGCGGACCTTCACCTCCAAGCAGCGCTGCTTCAGTCCAGCGCAGCGCTCCAGCAGCATGTCGCCAATCCTTGCATGCCGCAAACGAGGAAGAGCTCTCCGCTCTTCCTGAAGATATAGCGGCCTACCGGCCTCCTGGGCGGTGACTTCCTAGGCCAAGCGGCCTCCCAGCAACCGGTACCTCCTCCCTTTTGGAGGGAAACATCATTGCAGGCTCTGTTATTGTCCGCACAGGCCCGAGACCCGGGCTACTTGGACTGGTACCGGCCTACCTCTAACCTACCGCTACTGGGCCTCCAAAAATGCCAACTTTTTGTCTTCTTCTGCTCGGCCTACCTGCTACTTGAGTGTTTTTCCCCAGCTGCTCTAAGTGCCGTGGGCCTACTCCCCGCTACCGGCGTGTTTACCCCCCTGCAACCCTTCAAAGTCACGGCCACAGGTAAGTACCGGCCCGCTGGGCCTTGCAACCAACAAGTACCCTTGCGGGTCACCCCACATACCCAACCAGCAAGCACTCAGACAGACATGCAAACCAGTAGGCACACACACACACACAACCGGCAAGCACTCAGACAGGCATGCAAACCAGCAGGCACGCATACACACAGACTTGGGACCACAGCAGAATGCGGGAATCACAGCAAGGCATTCATTCCAGTGACAAATCCCAGAAATCAGCAGTGTTCTCAGTCTGTGTTTTTGGCGGGTCATTACAGCAATGATGTGATCGGAAAAGAAGAAGAAGAAAACAAAGGTGAACTCAAACAGAGCATACCATATAAACCGGCATGGGAGCAACAATGTGGCAATATCGGCGGTCACAGTCAGCCCATCGACGTGGCTGCCATTCTAATTGGTGAGGTAGGTCGCCGTAGGTGGGTAACATTGGCATAGTATGGACTCTTGAACTGGCTGCCATTTTAAGACCGGCCAAGGGGCCTTAAAATTGCATCTAGGCTTGTGTCCCCAAGTCCGAGTCCAAAATTTGGGGTCCAAAGTCGCTGTCTAGGGCCAGCAATCATCTGGGACATCCCTCTGGGGTTTCCTGGAGAGGACTGAACAAGATCAAGTACAATGTGTGCGCATGCTGCGTCCACAGGATGAGGATGGCGACAAGTACCCCAAACTGCTGAGTGCCTGCTTATGTGGTTTGACATTCCTCTTAGCCTGGTTTGACATTCCCCTTAGCCATACCTCCTTCTTTTCTTTCGTTTTCCTGTTTCCTACTTTGTGCGAAGCTGCAAGAGGTCACCTAGAGTATATATAGAGAGCAGCGCATGTCCTAGCCAAATCATGCAACGCCCTTTGACATTTCCACAAGTCAAAATCACACGTAGGTTTTCAAGTTTCCCCATGAACCACACGCACCAACCCTGGAAGCCTTCTCAATCACACACCCCAACCTGCATTACAAAATTACACATACACTCTCTTCCCTTGCCGCAACCTACAATGTGCCCATACCCAAACCTGCATTGCGAAACCATACATAACTTGCCGCAGTCTACAGTGCTCCCCCTGCCGCCCACCGACCCCCCCCCCCCCCCCCCCCCCCCCCCCCCCCCCCCCCCCCCCCCCCCCCCACCCACCCCCCACAAACCCCCCCCCCCCCCCCCCCCCCCCCCCCCCCCCCCCCCCCCCCCCCCCCCCCCCCCCCCCCCCCCCCCCCAAAAAAAAAAAAAAAAAAAACATATCCTTACGATGGAGCTTCCCACCACCCTCCTCAAACGAAGCTAAGCTATGCAGAACATGAGCCTGTAGTTCTATGTTTGACTCGAATAATTTCATTTGGTTTTGTAAGGACTTCGTGAAACTCACCCCATCAGCACCGTGCAATACAAACATTTCGTCCCTCAATCCTTTCTCCAATATCTTTGGTGTAGAGACACCTGCAGAACAACAGGAAGTAAAACACTAACTGTGAGCCACAATGAGATGGCTTAGCAGCATAACGGCGGGAAGGCTATAGCATTCACCAAAGATGCAAAGCACGTATATCACACACAAATTTCTTCTGGAACGTCTATGACGTCTATGCTCATAGCCATATCCATTCACGAGGCATGACAAAAGTGTCGTTCCCAAAAAGACTTGAAAAAAGGGACTAAAAAAAAAAAAAAAAAAAAGCTGTGCTAAACTCCGGGCCGCCCGGCGGCCCAGCCTCCGCCCGGCAGGGGTCCCGGGCGGCCCGTCCGGTTGGGTCCCCCGGTTCGAAGCCGGGCGGGCCCAGCGCATTTTGCGCAGCGGGGGGGGGGTTGGCCTTTTACGATTTGTTGGTGGTCTCGCGAGCCTTCACACCCCCCCGTGCGAAAGATTTCCTCCGGTGGCGGTACCCTACGGGCGGCCTTCGAATTCGAACACCGAGTTTGTCGAAGGTCCGCCAGTTTTCCTCTGCCCGCCTTCGACGAGGTGCCCGCCGTTGCTGCCCACCATGGAGGTTCCCGTCGCTGCCCGCCGTCACTTCCCGCCGCCGCTAGCCGTCGTCGAGAGCTGCCCGTCGTGGAGGTTGCCGAGAGCTGCCCGTTGTCACTTCCCGCCGCCGCTAGCCGTCGTCGCCGAGGTGACTGTCGTCAGTTCCCGGCGCCGCTGCCCGTCGTTGCCGAGGTGCCCGCTGTCGCTGCCCGCCTTCGCCGAGGTGCCAGACTCTCTCTCTCTCTCTCTCACTCTCTCTCTCTCTCTCTCTCTTCATCCTTTTTTTTTTTTTTTTCGTCAAAGTGTCACGAAACCGGCAGGTCCTTCTCCTCCTCCTCCTCCTCCTCCTCCTCCTCCTCCTCCTCCTCCCTTCGTCTTCTTCTCTCCTC